AGGGGAACATTTTCTTGGTTTCAGCATCTTTTCTGTTCCCAGCTCTAGCACGGGCAAAGGGGCTGGCCTTAAGTAAAATGTCCTTCAGACCGGGTGGCTGGGGAAAGAGGCCACATTCTGAGATTGCAAATCAAGTAGATGGTTCTCCGCTGGTGACCGGAGAACAAAGGCTCGGCTGGGGCCAGGGACTGGCCAGCCCCGGGAATGTCTCCTTTGGATGGCCTCCCATAAGCATAAACCACAGGCCTTGGCTTCCAGGAGAAGATGAGACACGCAGACAGGAGACATGAAATCATCATTCCGGAAGATGAGCGATGAGGCCCCAGGGAGTAAGCGATCAGAGCAGGAAGTTCAGCCACCTGGCCACCAGGGTGAGCTGAGGGACTTGGTGGAGGGGCTGGGGGAGAAGGGACCCGAAGGGTTAAGAATGCTTTTATGGAAAAAGTAGCTGCTTGGGGAAGATTTCAAGGATTAGAGGAAACAGGAAATGAAAAGCTTTGCAGGCAGCTTGGGAACCAGAGGCTTCCTCCTCCCCCTCATTCTGTCCCTAAGGAATAAAGTGCAGGAAAATGCAGAAATCATGTGAAAATGCAGAAACCATGGGGCCTCAGTATCTTGAGCACAGTTTTAATTCCATATAAATAGCCTCCCCCGCAAGGCCTCTGTTGCAGACAGTGTCGGATGCGTCTGGCTGGGCTTTACGAAACAGCCACGGGTAGGTCTGCTACTTCTCAAGAAGAATGAGTTCCAGGACGTGAGACTGATGGCTCTTTGTTTTTTGTTATTTTTTGTTTTTTCCCTTGTTTGTTTGTTTTCATCTCATATAATAAACACACGCAGTTTTATTCTAGAGGGTGCGTTTGAGAGGCTAGAATTCTATTTCTTGGGGCTCTCTTCACATATTTCCACAGACTAGACGGTTTAAAACAACAAAAATTTATTGACAGTTCTGGAGACCAGAAGTCCAAAATCAAAGAGTCAGCAGGACTGGTTCCCCTTGGAGGGCCTGAGGGAGACTCTGTCCCATCTCTCTCTCCTACCTTCTGCGGGCGGCTGGCTATCCTTGGCTTTCCTCGATTTGCAGACACATCGCTCTGTCGTTACATGGAGTTCCTGTATGTCTCTATTTTCCTCTTATGAGGACGTCAGTCATTGGATTAGGGCACTCCCTACTCCAGTATGACTTCATCTTAATTTGGCTACATCTACAAAGACCTTAATTTGAAAAGAGGTCATAACCAGAGGCATCAGGGGTTAAGGTTTCAATATATCTGTTTGGAAGACATGGCTCAACCCATAACCCTCTCCTAGCGGGTATTCTGGGATGCTACTAGTTAGCTTGGCAGGCGTGGTTGGGGAAGCTCTGGGCCTAGACCGAAGCAGCGGCTGTGTGCTCAGGGAAGGTACGAGAAGTTTACGGAGAGCTGAGATCCCTGAGTGGTTAAAGTCAGAGAACACAGCGGGTCATGGCAAAAGACCTGCGGAAATATCCAACTGGATGTCCAACAGGACCAAAGGAACGTCACATGGCCTCAGTGTCTCCTTTCAACAGTTTTTGTCCTACATTCTGGTGTTCCACTCTTTCAATTATACACATACATACCCAGTACCTGCAAAACAGGGCATAAACCACGAGCCTTAGCTTCCGGGAGCCCTTCTCCAGGGAAAAGATGGGACAACATATTGAGAAGAGACACAAAATCATTTTTCTAGAACATATATGATAAGGCCAAAAGGAGCAAGCATTAGAATTTTAATAAAAACTCCCGCAGATTTTCAGGCTGAGAAACACGGCCTCCCCACTTCGCAGCTGAGGAAACTTGTTTAGCAAAGTGACTGTGGCTTGGGTGAGGCCAGCCACACAGGTGGTCATTGGCCTAAACAGGACGAGAGCGCCCGCGAGCCAGGATGAGCATGATTTGTATGGCTCCGCATCTTGTCCCTAAAATGTGATTCGTTTACAAGAAAAGTAGGATGAGAAAAGGATCAAATGCCTGGATGCCTGGAGCAACGTGCAGAGAGTCAGGTGGAGAGAGAAAGGGGAGGGGAGAGAAGACCGATCCTCATGGAGGAAGAACATCTTAGACAGGAAACTGTCCCTGAATTAGAAATAGATGACTTTGAAGGAGGAAGCCAGTTAATACCATAGAGGACAAGGAGAGAGAAAATTGAGAAAAAAAGGATTAATCAGGAGGGAGGATGGCAGAAATCTTTTACGGCGCCATTTTCGTATATGATGAGAGACTGAATCTAAATTTCTGTGGATCAAACCAAACCGGAAGCAGAGGAGCCAGACCACTGGCCTGAGGACTTAGGCACTGAAGAGGGGGGTAAAATCAGACAGCGACCCAAGAGGGCGGCAAAATCGAAGCACACGAAAATGATGGATTTTGTCCCCTCTAAGATGCGGCACGTGCATCCAGTTAGAAAGCACGCAGAGAAGGACGGAGACGTGGAACCTCCTCTTGGAGCCATGTTGCTATCCTCTTCTCTCCTGTAACATCTACACCCTTTAATGCATCCTTCCCACAGCCACGTTAAGTCTCCGTAAGTCTCTCTCCTGTTCCAAGACAGCGATGACTCTAGTTCCCTTCTGCAAGGCCGAACATCTCTGCCCGAATTTCAAGGATCCTCTGCCTCAACCTTATTCCGTAGACCCCCGCTCTGCTGAGTATCATCTCTATGCTTTGGATTGGGGGCGGACTTTTATATAACATTTAATTTATTAAAAGGGCATAAGAAGAAAATAAGAAACATCTGTGCTCCCTTCACCCAGCTGAAAAAAATAAAACTTGACCCATCATTTGAAATCTGGTGTGTCACTGGTCGCGTCCCCCCCACTCCAAGGCAACCTCTAACTGAATTTGGAGGTTACTATTCTCAGGCATTCGTTTCCCACAGACATGTCTCCCACCCAGAGCCGTAGAGCGCCTTAATGTGCATTTTAAAAACTTCGTGCACTGTATCTATTATTCTACAACTTTTTTCTTGACGTATTTCTGCGTGTTCCCTCCATGTTAATACACGTAGCTCTGCCTCGCTCCTTTTTGCTGCCCATTTCCCCCCCGTTGTCACACTCATTGCTTATTTTAGGCAGTAACTAAAAGTACAGGCTTGGGAATCAGATGACCTGGGCTCAGATCCTATCTCTGCCACTTATTTCAGGCAAAATACTTTACATCTCTGAGGCTCAGTTTTTCATTTATAAAACGGAGATGATAAAAACAGTCTCCCCACAGGGGAGAGAACCCCTGTACGGGGCTGAGGACAGTGCCTGCCACGAAAACGTGCTCTCTCTCTCTATTGACTCTTGTTATTTTTCTATCCACATGACTGTCAGGAAAACCATGCTGAGAAAAAAGGTCAGAACCAAGTCCTGGGCTCAGAAACCTGAGGCAAATGTCAAAACAAGAATGTCATGTGTTTGCTGATGCTAGATGGTAGAACGAAAATCAGTACAAATAACTGAAGACAGCAGCATTAAACTAAGCAATGGTCATCTATCTTATTTATGTAAATCATGCAAATCTTTCTTGGACCATTCATCTCGGGGACGTTTTTCTTTTAATCAAAAAGATAATAAAATGTTAACATTTTTTTAAAATAAATAAATAAATGAAAAAGAAATGATTTTCAATTTTTCAGATTCTACAGATGAAACATCGTTGGTACATGAATAGAGGACTTTTGAAGGCAAATAAAGGGTTAACAAGGCTGTGACTCATGATTATAATATGTGCCACCATCTGATCACCAGGAATCTGAGCCAGTCATTGTACCTTCTGGAGATTCTTGGCCAGCTTATTTGGCCTGGGTTTGTCAGAATGTTCCCTGTCAATATCACCAAGTGTTGCAGCAAAACAAAATCAATTCCAGCATGGGACGTGAAGGTGGCTATTAAATTCGTTGGATTTATCCTTCCTATCATTTCATTAAATATCAGGACATCTAATCCAGTGCCCAATGGCAATTACTTCAAACTTTGTGCTATTTTGAATTACTCACTATTAGATCAAACTTTCGTTTATCTTTAGGACGTATATTCTACTACTGATTGTTTTCCAACAGAAAATGAATGTGTTCAAAATGGACCTGGAATTGCTATGAT